GTGGATGGCAAATTCTTCTGGCAGGCACCAAACAGAGTGAACAGCAGGGGGACATAAGTAGGGTTGTGAGAATAACTGATAATTTGCTTTGATTGCCAGACCAAAAAGTAAAGGGTGAGGGAGAGAGAGAAAAGGTAGAGAGAAAAGTGTATTTTTACTGTCAAATTATTGCATATTCTAGGATAGAGCTGCTAATACACACCTTGCTAAAGCTGTTCCACATCATATAAAATACTTAATGGGTAGGAGAGAGCAAGGAATGCATACATCACACTCACTCAGATGCTCACTCATAATGACTGAGATGATCCTCCTGGAGTTGAGACCTTTGTGTTTCAGCCCCTGATTGTGTAAATATTAATTTTTTTACCAGTCAGAGACTACCAACAAGAATGAGTGAATGATCCTCACCATAAAATACCCTACATTCTGGTGATGACAAGATTCCTCTGAGAGGTAGGACGTGTTTCAACCCAAATCACAGTTTTCTGCAAGTTAACCAGTTGCCATAAATAAACAGGTAGATAGACAGACAGATAGACAGATAATTACGTAAATGAAATCTCCAGGCTCTACAGTAGTAAAAACAGAGAAAAACAGGTAAAAATTTAAAACAAAACATAATGTAAAGGAGTGTTTTAAATTAAATGTAATACCTATTTCAGACCTAACTGGACCAAAAGCTTAAAAAAGAAATAGAAATACTGAATAAAACACACTCCTGCTCCTAAAAAAAAAAAAAAAAGATGAAAACTGCAGTGAAAAGTATCATCTCATTGTTTGTCACCTTTTATTATTGTGCTAAACTGGCTGTTCACAGCCAGAGGCCCGCGACTGAGTAACTAAATCAAGGTAATCCTGCCACGCAGATTGCTGAAGGGAGCAAGGCTGTATCCACTGTGGTCCCACCTGGGACTGAGGGGTGAACTTTGGTAGCGAATGAATTGGTGTGCACCATCTTGGGTCTATACTACTTAGCACCCCTGAACTCTGGAGCAAAACACCTACTCTCACTGCACAGTAGCTGGCCTCGTAGTTTTAAGTGTCCACAGTCCGCTTTGTTGCTCTTTCCCAGAACAACAGGCTTTGACACATAGAGGCCCTAGCTTTAGGGCAGTCTGCTAGGAATTAAGACAGAATTGTGAGAACCTTGTCTTGGATTTGCAGAAAATTTGTTGAATGTAAGATGCATCCAAGAAAGCATTTTGCGCATTCTTTGCTGAAACAAATGTGAAAAGATTTGCAGCCAGTTCTGCTCCAGAAATAATTGCCTTGATACACTTGATACTACGCTTAACAGACTTTGGACCAAGGCCAGCTGCTTAAGCCCTTTTGTTGACTCTGGTGCATCTGGCAACAGAGTTTAAATGAAGTGCTTCTGACCTGCTGCTTCCACAAGAGGAACTGAAATAGCAAAAGCCATCTTAAAGAAAATAGAGGGAAGAATTAAAATTAAACATTCTTACACTTTCAATTAACAGTGAAATCTAGTCCTCCTTTAAATTATTTGTCAGTGGGACAATGGTGCATATGAGCAGAGGAGGCAAGTGAGTTTTATTTTTCCTAGAGCTAGGAGTGACAAAAAGGAAAGGAAAATTCCCTGAAATCCCTCAAGTTTCTCAACCTGGACACCGAATAATTAGTAAAACTATAGTAACCACCAAGTAGAATAGCCTGATCATCAAAAGAAAATAAAAACTATCTGTTGCCACACAGATGATCTTTTCTTCCCTTCAGGCACTTCTCAGATTTTGTCACTAATCTGACAATTTTTGCACATTAAAATGTTTGATGTGTCATCAAGAAGAGTAGCTGTGCTTGAGATACATCTCAGATAAGGAGGAAAATTAAAGCACTTCCTGCTGCAGCTTGCCTGCAGAGCCAGAGACTAATGTGTATGACTTCTGAATCACCACTGAAAATAAAGATTAAGCCATGTATGCACACACTTACAAAGCCCCTAGCAATGGAAATTAACAGACAACTTACTGCTGGCAGTATCTGCGACTGTGAAATGATGCTGTTGGGTAAGCTGTTCTGTCGGCTTTCTGTGGTTACTTCTGCCCATGTGACTTGAAACCCTGTCATGGGCTGATGAAGGACAGCCTTAGATATCTTCCAGGAAAAATGACCAGTGATGTTACCTTCCTGAACAATGAAAGACGCAGATAGATTCTCGGGTTTGGCCAACACTTTGGGTAGAACTGGCACTATAAATTTGGAAAGCAAAAAGATAAGCTAAACTTTGAGAGAGAATGTTTAAAAATATTCATATAATTTCACATACCACGGTCAGATAGAGTTCCTTTTCTTGTGCTCACCCAGGCTCCTGCCAGTTTTCTGCCACCTCATTTCTCAGTGTTAACCAAAGCCTATCTTATACCATTGACACTTTGGGCCAAATCCAAACTTCAAATCAACTTCTGTCAGCTAGAGGTGACAGAAAGGAAAGCCCAAGGCATCAGAATTGCCATGTAAAAGTATAAACATCTCATTCACAGTCAACCATCCTGCTCCTTCTCTACATTTCAGGATCTCAATTCCAACTTTCAGTTTTGGACCACAAGAAAACACGGAATATATTGCGCAGAACCTCTTGATGAAGGCAAAAACCAGAACATTATAAAAGTGTTAAGTAAACAGGGCATGCTAATTAGGAGAAACATATGCCTGAGTTTTGCTGACTGTTGCAGTTGCCCAGGAACAAGACTGTAAAGCCGGAGACTGTCAGGAGCAGGGACAGCAGCAAGCGGCAGCAGTTGGAAGGAGGACTCTGAGGTGACTCTCCAGAGAAGGAGAGTGTCTTGGCAGCTATGAGGGACTCACAATGAGGAGCAACCCTCATTAAAGCGTGAGGTTTCCAAACTTGGCTAGGCAAAGGCAAGCTGACCTGACCTAGTGCTGGCAACAGCCCTGTCTGAGTGGGTGGTTGAACCAGCTGACTCCAAAAGTCCTTTCCAATCAACCTCCCTATGACTCTGTGATTTTCCATAACCCTTTAGCTATACTTAACATTGTGGCAACACTGTCAAAGGTGTAAGAGCTACTTTATTTGCTATTTGAAAGGAGAATTAACCTAAACTAAATTAAAATGAGAAAGCTACTCGCATCAGTAGCAAAATGTTCACAAGATGGGCCATGCCAGCACAGTTATGCTTACAATTATTATCCATCATTATAATGAATATAAGTAGGAAACTCTTCCTCCTTCAAAAAATAAAATCCATGTAATAACAAATATCATCCTATGTTTACAAATAGTCCACTGAAATTATCCCTTAACTGACAAAAGAGTAATGTGGTAACTAAAATCTATACTGCTCCGTATTTTAGTTGATTTTCCACATAAGTATTAGCGATGTTCTTATTTGTTCTGATTCTTTCATATCTCATTTCAGAGTTGCTTATAAAGGGTTTTTCTTATATAAGGGCACTTGAACCTATCTGGCACGTTCTCCAGATTATGCCTTACCTCCTTCAGCAGGACAATTAATGTGCTTGTGGTTTTTTTCTTTAAACGTAGAGCAAGGTGGGGTGACAAAGAAAACACTCTCGGCCTTAAAACGACCTTTAGATTTTGCAGGCAAAACAGTTACTTTGTATTTGCACGAAAATGACAAGTCCTTCAAAATTATGTAGTTTTCCTAGAACAAGAAAAACAAAAAGAGCACGTGCTGTAAATAGCTCTCTTAAAAAAAAGAGAAGAAACAGAAAATTAAAGTTGGCAGAAGATGAAAAACTTTCTCCAATAAAACATTTTCCTGATATGCTTAACACATGCCAGCATGGCTTTTATTCAGAGAACAAAGCAAACATTGCTCACGTTATGATTATTTTCAATAGTCAAGTATTAAGATGGTAGTTGGATATGTCCTTCAACTCTACACAGTTCCTTAGCCATGCTGCATCAAAGCAACTAACTTCTAACATTTGAACAGTCTCTCTGGAATGACAGCAGGGTGAGAGCAATGCTAATCAAATTAAATAAATTAAGCTGCTGTAAATGACAGGCTTTGTCTACATTTAACTTCTTTAAAGTGCAAACAAAGTCCAGTAGGGCATTATGGAACCACTATTTATTTTTCTTTTAGTACTTTAAGTACTTCTACCTTGTTATGTAGCATGTTAAGGAAGAAGAGCTCTACAGTTGAACTACAATTCTCCATCTAAACATAACTAAAGAAGAAAAAGCCTAAGCGTCCTACTAAATTCTTAATGTTGTCTAAAGTAATTTTGAAAATTACAGCCTGAAAGATTTAGCATAAATCAAATTTGAGAGAAAAAAGGTATTTCTGTGAAAATGTCCAATAACACCTTACTTGCCATGATTCCAAGTCTTTCATGACCTTTTATACCTTTCTTTCTCTCTAGAATCAGTAATTTACAGTGCTTTTCTGCACAACTCTCTTTTTTGCAGGCGTATTCCATACCAGTTTAATTTAGACTTCATCTGTGAAGGGCATTTTCAACGGGACATACAGATTGGGCTGAGAAGAGAACTGATTCCCTGCCTTCCACCTGCTGGGCAAGAGCCGTAACAAGATAGACGTCTATTTAAAATAGTGACAAGATCATTTTGTTTTTTCGTAAGAAAAAAAAATGCCAGACCTGCTCCATTCCTTTACAAATGATTGTAAGTTGCTATTTGAATAAAGCGCCTGTACTTTTAGACAAGATTTCAGGCCATCCTCTGTAGCCAGCATTTCCTATTGACTCATTAGAGCAGACATCTGCTTGGGATTTGGGGGTCTGGATGAACTTTATGAGGGTCCACATGCATCTATATCTCTCAAAGTGCACTCTGAGAATACCAGGCTAATTTCAGGGCCTGTAATACCAGGAGCCAAGAATTTAAATACTGAACATTAGGAACCTAAGGCCTTTATCCACCTTGACCTATCATAGCTAGCTATCAGACCTTTTTTAGCATCAGCCTCCTTCTGTTTGCTTATAACAACTCTGAGTCCTCAAAAGAAATACAGTTTCCCAAAGCTGATTGGACCAATTACTGTAAAATGAGCGAGAGGAAATAAAAGAACCAACCCCACAATGCATCTGGCCAGATGCACAATGAGTTTTTCCTGACCTCTAGTGGAAATAAACTTATTAAATATGAACTTCTTCCTATCTTTAATGTGCATAACTTGAAATATTATGACTGATCATAAAATTATGTCACAATCATTTTTAATCTACCTCTAAAATTCACTTTGCTGAGCCCATGAAGCAGTAAATTTCAGAAGCTAACAGTCTGCTGCAGGAGAAATTATTTGCTTTGATTTAATCAACTTTTACATGCCATTAGCTCCATTAAATTGATATGTTATTATAGGTCAGGGTAAGAAGGAAAGGTGAATTATATTTTCTTCAGTTCTTCATAATCCACTAAATTGAATGTGAAGCATCAATCACAGCATTATGTTGTTTAAAAATGTGTTACAGAGTGGGATGACACTGGCTTGCCAACAAACTGAGTATGAAGAAGTGTCACTGCAGTACATTTTCGGGCTAACTTATGTATTTACATAGAGCTTCTCTCATTTTACTGAAGCTGTAATAATTGCTCTGTTATCTGTCCTACTTCTAGATTTAATCTCTAGTATTCTTCACCTATAGTCTTTTTTTTTCTATTCTGTTATTCTCCACAAGGACGTGAAACCTACCTGCTTGTGTAAAAGAAAACCTAGTTTATTGATTACTATTATGATGGCTCAGTATTTGTACTGTGCTAGAGTGCTACAGTCCTAATTACAAATGAAACCTCATGTTCTCCATGCTGTACAAATATATAGGTACTCAGCTGTTAAGTTTGTTTGCCTGCTTTTGTTTTCTGAACGACAACAAACAAACAAGGATTTTATCCTAGCATGGATCTTTTTTAAATGAAGACTTTAAATACCTCTTTTTTTAGCTTTTGCACAAGAGGAAAATACAAAAACACTCTTCTTTTTCACGAAATATGGTATAAAACCTACTGTATTATGTTACAAAACCATCCTTTCTCTTGCTGCTCAGAAGCTATTCAGCAGAGGGCTGAACGGAGACTTACGTTAGTCAGCTCAGCTACTTTCCCAAGTCCTTTTGTGTCATTGCGTGCACAGGACTCCAGTAACCAGTGGACTTGGTATTGATTCATGCTGGTATCTAAATGATATAAAGAGGAAAAGATATGTTAGAATTACCCTCCAGGCATTTGCCACTTTTCTGGCTTTTTTTTCTGAATATAAATGGATCCTCACTTGTTCCTAGGCATCTATTAATAAAAAGGAGAAAATATTATATACTTACATACTATTATATATATTATATTTATATACTTACTAAATATATTTTAGTTTAACACATATATCAACATAATTGGGATAACTTTAAAAATAGAGAACTGACATTTTCAGAAAAGCAAGCATCTACTGATAAGAGCATTTAAAAAAATACGTCAGTGTTTCTGCTACTAAACATCCTGCAAATGATAGGAATGACTTTGTGCCAACTGCCTGTGACTGTTCATACTGTTAGAGCATTGCAATACAGCTGCCTGGCACTGCTTGGGAAATCAGTGCCTGAACATATGTGAAAATGTCTGTAAATCCCTGAGTTTTGCCCTTTCAGAATCTATTGCGAGACCTGTTCAGTACCTGACTAAATAAAATTCTAATCTTCACTCTTAGGAGTAATATCAAAGGCTTGAGTTTGCTCCCATTAAAATCAGTGGAAAAATTTGCAACAATATCAGTGGTATAAACTTTCAAGCAAATTTCCAATTCTTCAATTTTTGAGAGCTCTCCATATAATTGCAGGGATAGGCATAATAATTTGTAGCCGCTTTTCTTAATACTGATTGCATAAGGAAGCGAAACAAAGGGCAATAAAGAATTAGACAGAAGAAGAGTAGTAGAGCAAATTAGTAGCGCAAATTAGTAGTGCAAATCTTGGGTAGTGTAAATACCTCCTGTTGTTTTTTTCTGGATTTAGTTCTCCTCTATCTATGTATAGGGGATGAAAAATTACATACGTGTTATTACTAATTAACTTGGTATGACATAGCTCCTCATGCCACTGCCTGAGTGTGAGTTTCAGGCAGGAGAACAAATATCTTTGATGCCTTAAGGGCTGATCTTGCTTTAGACTGCTATGAACAATTTGGATGCAGAAGGAAAGGACTATAAATTAAAGAGAAAATAAGTAGTGTCTGAAACTCACTCAAATGGTATTCTGGTAAAAGGACTGATTAGAAGCCTGCTTGAAATGGATTTGTGTAGCAGCTGCCTTCATAACAACATGGATGCTAATTATTCGTATGACTTCTTTGGAAGCCCAACATTTTTTCAGAAACAAATGCATAAAGAAATCACAAGCCTCCTTGTGATTGTTTCCTTTCATTTAAAAATAAATAAATGGATGTGATTTCACTTGCTTCTTGATTGTTGGGCTTTCCCACCTGATGTGCCAGAAGAAGACACATATTCACAGTGCCTTTCTAAGTCGGTTTCATCTGATTTCAGCTGTTCCAGTTCACTCAGTTACTGCCTATCACCTGCTTGTGCCCCTCTCCTGAGACGAGCACACAGGACATATAATCCGCCACCTGGCTTCTTGGGACCTGAAAACTTTGTGCTGCTCTATTAATCATGTTATACTAGCCATGCACAGTCTGTAGCAAATGGCCACGCAGTGAATCTTTTATTGATTGCAAGTTACCTGATGATAGGCTACTTATCCTTTTAAAATGTACATATGTAAGGTGGACTGCTCCTTGTAAGGCTACACATTGAATATTTTCACTTCTCAATCTGTAAAAAAACCACTGAATTTTTGACATAGATTCAAGGCTTTTCATTATCCAGCCATCAAGAACTGGATAAGACCAATGTTCAGCGTATATCACTGAATATCACAATATAGGCAAATGATGAAAGATAAATCCCAAGCATCAAAAGCTTACAAGTAGTTCATCATCCGGATATATCAATACAGAGGTTTACTAAGCCTCTGTTCAGAAATGTAATTAAATAGGTTGTCACTCCAAATTTTTTGCATTTCTAGCTCCTGGCATAACAGAAAACTGGATTTTGTTGCAGTTCCTTCTCTGTTCTGTATGTGAGCTTTTCACCACTACACCCAGATTCTGTTCTTATGTAGTTCTTTCTGCTTCTCTCTTGTATTAGCAAACCCTGACTCACTTACTAATAAACACTTGTGGTTTTTAACAAGCTCTCTATATGAGCTAGAAAATCAGGAAGGGTTCAAAAACACTTTTCCTCCTACTTGTCCTGTCAGTTGGGACTGTAAATGTGATAGCGGGACAAGTTATAATAATTCTAATTTCATAATTTTTTATTTAAACAAAATGAACAAATAAATCTTACATTTGATAGTGCTTGCACCTGGTATTCTGATAAGAACTGATATTGAAAATACAGGTTTTTCTTTCTTGTCAGTGAATATGTAATTAAAGTTATTTCAAATAGGTTTTTGCATATACATATATGCAAACATACATTAGCAATCAACTGGAATGCATTGTGACAGCAACAGCTAAGTTTACCCAAAACTTTT